GTTTCGGCATGTTTTATGCAGTGGAATGCCTATCCAGATGCAACCCAGTACTGGGAAACACCCATACACAGTCTCATTCACAAACACTCATACACTACGGCCAATTTAGTCCATCCAATTCACCTATAGCAGAAGTCTTTGGACTGTGGGGGAAACCGAAGCACCCAGAGGAAACACATGTCAACATGGGGAGAACACGCAAACTCCACACAGAAATGCCAGCTGGTCCAACCGGTACTCGAACCAGCGACCTTTTTGCTTTTAGACGACAATGGCAACCACTGAGCCACCGTGCCACCCCGGCATTGTTTTATATATTTATAATTGTTTATTTATGTAACTCCATGGTCCTGCAAGACATGACATTTCATTCCTCTTTATGTCAACACAGGTAGAGGAATGACAATAAAGCAACTTGACTTAAACTTGTCTAACTTGAACTCAAAATCAATAAAGTGACTAAAGTGCAAGTGAACATATATACAGTGAACAGGAGTGTGTTATTCTCATCTGTTTGTTATCTGATTGACCGAAACCTTTCTTCCAGGTGTAAATATACAGATTTTGAGATTTAACTGAGATCACACTAGATTAGGGTAACCTTTACATCTGCAGAAAAATCGATGAAGTCTCTTAGACGTTCTCCATTTTCCTGAATAAAATGGCATCTCATTGGTGATTTATGAGGAGAAGTAGATGCTCACCTGTACTTCTTCAAGCACAAGCAGAACATGCACTTTCTAAAAGCATCACTCAAGTTAAAATAGAAACTCGTGCCCGCTCCTGCAATCTCAGACAAACACTTCTCTCTCTCTTTCACCTTCTCTCTCTCTCTTCTGCGGGTTGGTGTGGCAACAGCTGGCGAGCCGCTATAAATACTCTCCTCTGTTAGAAGCTCTTTTTCCTGCTGTTTCTTCCATCACTCTCCTCCTGCTGATCTGCTGCCCTCCCTCTGGATAAACCTCCATGTCAGCAGTCACTGTTAAGTGTTGCTAGTTGACTGATATGAGCTGAACGATGCTGGAATGCAGTATGCGTTCATAATTTAATCCAAAGCAGCACACTAGTGTTCAAAATGTTTCGTTGGTAAGATTTTTTTTATCGTTTATTTTTTAAATATGTAGAGTAGGCCATTTATAATAATAATAAAAAAGTTGTGCAATATTTTGTTACAGAAAATAATGTGATAAGTGATGTTGTTGTAATTTTAAGACCACTTGATGTCGCTGATTATATATATTAGTTATCCAACAGCATTTTAAATAATGCAAATAGGGATAAACCATGCCAAGAGCCAAAACCTTTTATTCTGAAGGCTATTTAGATTCTGATATTTGATGTAAATTACTCAAATATCCTAATATAAACTTTAACACCTAGGGCCCTATCATACACCCGGCGCAGTGTGGTGCAAGGCGCGGCGCAATAGTCTTTTGGTAGTTTCAGCTTGGCGCAAGAGTCGTTTTGAGGCGTTGCTCTACGCTGTTTAAAGAGCAAATGCATTTGCGCTCATTTGTGCGCCCATAGGTGTTCTGGTCTAAACAGGAAGGCGTTCTGAGGCGGACCGCTGGCGCGTTGCTATTTTGAGAAACTATAATAGATTTTTCATTAGACTAAAACTAACCCGGTCTAAACTCCGGCGCAGAGTTGCGCCTCGCTTACACACTGCTTAATACGCACAAGAGAGCAATAGGCAAATATCTTTACATATGAAAAAATTTAAATATTAAGGATATATATAGGATATAATAAGAATAGATAAAGAATATAAATATAAAGGATTAAAATATTACAAAACATATTATTTTCTAGCCTACATAAATATGAAAAACACTGCTTTTATGTCTTCTTCATCTCGGGAGGCTTTTTCAGTTCATTCATAACAATTTGATTTTGTATAATGTTATTATTATTAGCAGTATTATTTATTATATCCATATTTATATTTGTTTTATTAAAAACAAGCTTAGATTTGCCCACCTGTCAGGTTTTAGACCATATGGGTCACAGCAGTTTTAGGATATAACTCTGAACTCTGATTATTGTTCATTTATTTGTTTGCTGGAAATTATAACTGAATTTAGAAATATTTTTGAAACGAATATTTGCGCTTAACAAATAAAATGATTTATTTATAGACTAATTGATGTCTGTGCGTAAAGGTTTTTCTATCCAAGAGCGAAAGTGAAAGTAGTTCCATTATCTTTCATTCTCACACAGTAGATGCTCTGTTTAACAGTTTTCTGTTAAAAAACTGTTAACTGTTAACAGTTTGCTTGTGAAATGCTCATTTTTTTCCACTCAGACTTGCGCGACAAAGCTGGCTCTTAAAGGTAATGGGAGATGAGACTCTAATTGGTTTATTCTCAAAACACACCTATAACTCATTAAGAAAATAAACTCAACCCTTTTAGCCCATGCGCCTTGGTGCAAAGCAGGTTTTCCCGTCCTTAAATTAGCAAAAATGCGTTCTGACACGCCCTAAAAGCGTTTGTGCCCTGCGTTTTGCGCTCTGCGCATGGACCGTCAAAATAGAGCCCCTAATGTAGAATGTAAAGTGTTATTATGTCAAAATTTTATTTAATGTTATTCGTGAAGTTCTGCCATTTTTATAATGTCATGGAAGTTGACTGCAGCTTTTAAACTGTTTATTAAGATGGGTTCAATGCATGTTTATTCCTATAGCACTTTTACAATGTAGATTGTTTTAGAGCAGCTTAACGTAGATGTTTTAGTAAATTGAAACAGTGTCCGTGCAGATTTCGGAGATGAAGTTCAGTTTAGTTCCGTTCAGTTTAGTGTGGTTTTAATTTTCACTGCTGAAACTCCAAACACTGAAGAGCAAATTCATCAATGCGCAGCTCCACAAGACCCAAACCAAGCAAGCCAGTGGTGACAGAGTTCTTTCAAACCTTCAGTAGTTTTTAGCAAAACATTTGGTTTTGTGTGATAGGTTTTACACATTGCATCACCAAAAATGGTGTACCAAGCAAATATATTGATTATTGCGACAGGTGTAATTTAAAGGAATGATTTTTGCTCATGGCTATCAACAGCATTTTTCACTATTTATTTCGTCATAACCAAGCTTTCACTGGCGATAAGCACATTGAACATGTAAAACTTGTGGTTGTTGCAATAGTCGTCCTCATGCTTTATCCATGTGTATTTAGCTTTTAAGCTTTTTTTTTTTTTTTTTTTTTTTTTTTTTACTTCAGTTTGACCTCATCCACTACAGAGCCCAAAACCCCTATCCATTTGTTTGGGCAGAAGTTACAAGCCATGAAAATCAAAGGAAAAAGCGTAACTCTCATTGTTCAACCACTTTTTATTGTGTCAAAATAGAAAAAAGAGACTTGAGGTGTTTTGTTTTATTATTATTTTTTAACTTATGACCTGTTTATACCAGCCATTACGTTCATATTAGTATCCTTTGTCTAGTCGTAACATTGCCGATCAGCACAAGCTAATATCCCAATGTGCATGGGCCTTTATGATCACCTGCATTTATTTGATCAAGAATACTGATATTGAAATATTATTACAATTTAAATGATCGTTTTTTTTTCTGTTTTAATATATTCTAAAATACAGTTTATGCAAACTTCCGCATAATTACGCCAATCTACAGTTTCACTGTACCTTTTCTTGATTGCATTGTCTGTTACTGATTGCTGATTAATGTATTTAGTAATGTAATCAATAGGTTACTTATTTTAGATCATGCATTCTGATCACTTTTTAGATTACTACCTCAAAATTCCATTACTTCTATACCACATGAGCTAAAAGTACCAGTTGAGATCGATTAATAAGCTAATTTATGTCAGATTATTAATGATCTGACAATGTTGTCAACAGCAGACGCAACACAGCCAGCATAACACAATAATACAATCCTAGAAGGTAAACTGATACACAATTTAGTTTTTCCCCCTCCAAACACAGTAGAATATTTTTTAAAATGCTCACTTAGTTTTTCCCTTGTACTTGCTGTACTTATTTTGCATGGAGCTCTCGCGCATTTCAAAACGGCACATGCTAATGACGTCTAATGATTTATGCATACTAATGATCGTGCTTGATTAACCATAATTTAGATTACGATTAGGATAATTGAATCAGCAAGAATTATTGACTTGCATCCCTAGTGTGAACAATAAATGAGTCTTTATCCAGTGATCTATGCATGCTAATCACCATTCTTAATCAACCATCATTTAATAATTATAATAATAATAATAATAATAATAATAATAATGATCATGTATTTTTTATAGCACCTTTCAAAACTTAATTCTCTAAGCACTTTACACTAAAAAGATACAGATGCAAAACGTATTTTGTATAACAATAAAAGTAGAGCATTTCATATAAAACATGAAACATAGATAAAACATACAATATCTAAAATCATTTAGACGTATTGATTTAAATGATCATCAAAATTGAATCAGCATGGATTAATCACTGGCAAAATGTATCCAAATGTATCCAAGGATTTATGCATGCTAATCATCATTCTTAAATTCTCTAAGCTCTTTACACAAAAAAGTGATGAACCGCCAATTATTCCAGCACCTGTTTTACGCAGCGGATGCCCTTCCAACTGCAACCCAGTACTGGGAAAGACCCATACACTCTCACATTCACACACAATCATACACAACAGCCAATTTACTTTGTTTAATTCACCTATAGCTTATTCACCTATTGCGCAGTCTTAGACTGTGGAGTAAACCAGAGCACCTGGAGGAAACCCACGCCAACACGGGAAGAAACATACACGGAAATGCCAACTGGCCCAGTTGGGACTCAAAGCAGCAACCTTCTTGCTGTAAGGCCACAGTGCTAACCACAGAGCCACTGTGCTGCCCATATCTTAAAAAGATCATCAAAACTGAATCAGCATTGATTAATCACTGGCATCCCTAGTGTGAACCATGACAGAACTATATTTTTAGTGTACTAAGATAGTTTTTGTGTATGCTTGTGTGTAGATTTGACTCTGGTAAAGACGGTTTCATTGACCTGATGGAGCTGAAGCTGATGATGGAGAAGCTCGGAGCTCCACAGACTCACCTTGGCCTGAAAAACATGATCAAGGAGGTGGATGAAGATTACGATGGCAAACTCAGCTACAGAGAGGTATGAACAAACTGTTTATATGTCTCTCTCTCTCTCTCTCGTGTGTGTGTGTGTGTGTGTGTGTTTGCTCTAAAATATATTCCTTTTAATTGTCTGGATAAAAAATATTTAAATATTTTGGAGCAGTAAACATGTCAGGCTAAATAATTCAAATTATTAACGTCTGCTGTCTTCATTAGTTTCAAAAACACAGATTTCATTACATCTCGAAAAGGCTTCTTTGGATATCCTTCTTTTCCTTGGATGTAAAGTAAAGCCATTGTACTGTTCAAGTGTACAGTATTCACCTTATTCTCCGTGGACAAGTGGGCGCTGCCATTTCAATCTTTTTGGCACAAGACTTCCGGTCTCATTCATTTCCATTCATTTTTAGACGTTAAAAACTGCTCGTTTCGCTGTTTGATGTTGCAAACTGATATTTCCTTGTTATATTATTCTACTTGGTCTGTATAGTCATGCAAGCATTTGTTTGTAGAGCAAGTAGTTTGATCGTTTTTTGCCGTTTAGTATTTCTAGTCATTTCTCCCATAGGCAACTGAAACGGAAGTTCTAAGACAATCGCGAAAACCAGCGCACTTCCGCATTTTAGAATAAGGTCAATAGCATGCTTGTGATGCTTGCTGGAGCAGTAGCTCTTGATTTGGATGCTCCTTTGCTGCTGGACATACTGTGTTGCCCTAAAAATTAAAATGAAATAGTCTTTGACAACAAAACAGCAACTTGCATATACTTTGAAACTTTTATCAATGTTATCAGTTTTAAAACCTTGACTTTTCCAAACTGTGGTAAACCTTGAAACCTGTTCCCATCATCCCATGCCTAGTGTGTGTTCTTGCTGAACCCGATCTGTCATAGTCCTCGAATGCTGATTGAATCTAGTGATTGAATCTTTTTGAGAGATTACCTTTCTGTGAACTGCGTTAGACTCCAGTGATCCTCTCACAGCACAGTTCTGTTAGTTGTGTACCAGATAACATCTCTGACGGGATTACAGCTCTGATTACAGCTCTGATATGGGGATTCACGCGAAATCTGAAAAATCAATCACATTTAGGCACATAAGCTGATTTACACGTGGTGGATGATAAAATGGGATGAAACTGGAGTTCAGATTTACTTGGAAAGCAAAGAGACCACTAACATGCATGTTGACAACTAGTATATAAGAAGGGTGGTGATATATATGTTAGAAATTTGATGTATGTGTGTGTATTTAAATAATGAGACACATTATTTAGTGTGAGGTATTTTTAAAATGCAAAATGCAGATTGTTTCCTATGAGGGTTGGTGCAAGTGGATAGAATTGCTTGTACAGTATAGGCAAAGGCACGGCAAGGCAAGGCAAGCTTTATTTATAAAGCACAAATTTACACAACCGCAGTTGATCCAGAGTGCTTTGCAGTAATAAATCTAAAAGAAAATATAGACTTGTATTTAAAATATAAGAAAAATATATATAAACTGAAATACAGATATAAAATAACATGAATGCATCACTTAAAGGCAAGGTAGTAAAATATGTCTCTAAATTGGATTTAAAAGTATCCAATAATGGAGTAATCCTGATGTTGAGAGGGACACTGGCTGCGTCCGAAACCGCCTACTACTCAGGAGGTACTGCATTTGAATTTAAACATACTACTCGGCCGTTAGAAAAGTATGTTCTATACAGTATGAATGTGAAAAGTATGAATGAAATACGGACGTACTACATCCGCCATTTTGTTATGGTCACGTGACCTACCTGCGTAAGATGCGTCGCTTCACTTCCATACATGAATTCTCTTGCGGGGCATTATGGGATAGCGCAGCGTGCATGAAATGCGCACTTCAGAATCCCGCCGGAAGTAGTAAGTCATCCGGGTTCTTCTCGCGTACTGATTCTATGAATTCTATGAGCACACTACTCGGCTCGCATACTGATTTTAGCGTACTGTATAATATAGAAGTATGCAGTTTCGGATGCAGCCACTGTTCCAGAGCATTGGGGCCACAACACAGAAAACTTGACAAAGTCCTTTTAAGGCAAGTCATTTCACTCTGTGGCCATCTTCTCGGGCATTCTGTCTGAATGGGGAAACATCAAATTCTCCAAAATTGCTTGCCAAGCTAGCCATTGAATTTCAAGTTAGGAATCACCAATAACATTAAACAACTGTGTCTTGATTGGCTCCTGTACTAGAAGGCAGGCTTCATTTGCTATACTGACCGTTACATTTTTCCCTATTCTTACTTATACGAGTGACACGTTGTGTATTCTATAGTGTTTGAACTCGATCCGACCTTTTGACTTGCAGTGAGACCGAGGGACAGTCAGAAGAAACTGATCATAGGACCTTAATGGCCTACAAGCTGTATACGGCCTAATAAGTTCACAGATATAAACCGGGGCAGAATTGTGCAATGCTGTATATGTGTAAAGAAAGATCTTAAAATCAACTCTGAGTTTTATAGGAAGCCGGTGCAATGAGGCAGGGATTGGGGAGATATGATCTCTTTTCTTAGTTACTGTTAACAATCTGGCAGCTGCATTCTGAACCAACTGTAACCGAGACAGTGTTTATTGAGGTAGACCAATCTACAAAATAGATTTTTCAAAATAATTTCAAAATAAAAATAATTTAAAAATTATACTTTTTTGTTTTTTTGACCACAAACTCTGCGACCCACTGAAGTGGGTCACGACCCACCAGTTAAGAGACACTGCAATAGAGCACCTTTGGGATGTGGTGGAACAGGAGATTCACATCATGGATGTGCAGCTGACAGATCTGCAGCAACTGTGTGATGCTGTCATATTAATGTTGACCAAAATCTCTGAGGAATGTTTCCAGGGCCTTGTTGAATCTATGCCACACAGAATTAAGGCAGTTCTGAAGCCAAAAGGGGGTCCAACCCAGTACTTGTAAGGTGTTTCTAATAAAGTGTCCAGTGAGTGTATTTACTAATATTAACATACTTCATTTTAGCATACTCTATTTTGAACTTGCCGTAATTTTTTTTCATACATAATTTAAACAATATTTACCTATCCAAAAAAATTTGATAGAAAATTATAAAAATATAAATATAGAGAAACTACAAATGTTATTACAGTTACTAGAAGCTAATAGTTCAAGGTTTGTAAAAGATATAGATATAAAATAGACATTATTTAGACCTTTTTGGGGGGGAAGAAGCTCATCATAAGAGGAGAAACACACACACACACACACACACACACACACACACACACACACACAAACACACACACAAACACACACACACAATCACAGATGCACAAACAGGTGTCAGTGCAGCTGTGTTCAATACAGTCAGTCTGTTGTGTGTCAGACGAGGCTCTGACTCTGTGATTGGACAGACATTCCACATGGATAAGATTACGCACACACACACACACACACACACACACACACACACACACACACACACACGATTGTGCAGAAAATGAGGGGAAACCTGATATGAGGTCATTGGTTTGTCCTCTCCCTTCCTCTGAATGAAATCACTCATGTTTGCATACGATCTACAGACAAGTGAAATAAAAGACACACTTTACTGTTTGCTACATATCACAGTAAATAAAAACAGCTCGACTCATGGATTATGTGCTGACATAGACTTTGATTCTTTAATGTTTATTTTTAGAAGAGCATAGAAAAGCTTCCTCCTATGAAATGCTGATAACCTTCCAGCCACTTGAAGTGTGTGCGTGCCTCTGTGCGTGTATGAGTATGTGTGTGTGAGTGTGTGTGTGTATCTCGTATTCCTTATGATATGGGGACCAAAACGTCATCGATGATGCGCTGTTCAGTTTAACAGAACAGAAGTGCTCTCACTCAGCACAGTGAAGATTTCTTTATATTGTTTTAGTGGTTTGTGATGCTGTGACACGCTGTCAAATATTTCACCGAACAGATCAGAATGTTTTGAGACTCATAAACTACCATAAAGTCCTCATAGTGCAGGAATTAGGAGGTTTGCTAAAGGTGCAGCTGTCGTGCAGTGAGGGGTTTGCATCTTTAATAATCTACGACAGTTTGCATTCATTAAAGTAAGAATGATTAATGAATCCATATGAAACAGCCCCTTAAAAGTCTCGTCTTGTCTTCAGTTTTAGAATCAGGTACACTTTGTACTCACACTACAAGCGCACCGCACCTGAGCACCAAAGCGGCCAACTGAACCACGCCTGAGCCCGATTCAGAGTGTATCGTAATGTTTTCTGCATTGTGTTAAAATCACTGACACATCATACGAATGTTTGCCTTTATATCACGTCCTCGTTTATTCTGGATAACATGAAGGAACATATAAGAGGACTTGTGCAGCCTAACAGAGTAGTGATGTATTCACTCGCACTACGAGAGAAAAATAACAAACAGAACAAAAAATAATGAGAAATAATCTCCTAGCCGCTGTGTATACATCACAACCATGCCTTAGATCACAATCATACAATTACATTCATCGGGATTCATTAGTTAAACAGAATATGACACTCGTTAAGTCACTGCATACACTTGTGTGACCTACTGCTGCTGAATCTCATGCAGACTGGGGAGAAGCAAAGCGCACGCACTACCCAAATCAACATGGAGACAGGAAACCCCAAATATGGTCATGACAAGTGGAATCACAAAATAACAACCATTTTTACCTTTCTGTTTTGCACCTGCTACAAGAGCACTCACACTTCTTTAACGAATTAGGAAATGTGCCTGGGAACGGTTTGGATTGCATAGTGTGAGTGCACCCAAAGCGTTTGCTGCTATAAATAAGCTTTGTCGTGTGCAAAATTTTGTTTTCTATTTTACACCAGAAGATGGCAGCACATGAATGAACACACAAAAAATATGCACATTAGGGTGTTTTGCTGCTATAAATTGTGTGTGAGTTTGTAAGTTAAGACTGATCGAAATTGACTCGTATCACACTGCAAAAAATGCTTTTCTTGTTTAGATTTTTTGTTTTGTTTCTAGTCTAAATATCTAAAATTTTTAAATGAAGAAACATTTTCTAGACAAGTGAAACATATTGTCTTGTTTTGAGAAATAATGTGCCAATGTTAAGTGAGTTTTTCCTTAAAACAAGCAAAATAATCTGCCAATGGGGTCAGCAAGATAATCTTGTTTTTTCTTTTGACGTACGATTGTTTTGCTGACCCCATTGGCAGATTATTTTGCTTGTTTTAAAAAAAAAACTCACTTAATATTGGCATATTATTTCTCAAAACAAGAAAATATGTTTTGCTTGTCTAGAAAATTCTTCTTTATTTAGGAATTTTTAGATATTTGGACTAGAAACAAGACAAAAAATCTAAGCAAGAAAAGCCTTTTTTGCAGTATATGTTTGATATTTATTATAACTATGGTATAAAAGATGAGAAACTAACTAACTAACTAACTTTATAAACTCATTAAAGCCTCAATCACACTTCAAGCGACTCACAGGGGCAAAACAACAAGTGTTCATTTCAACAAAGTGTGAGAGACTTCCGACGACCTCCGTCTATGCGAGCAACAGTGAGCAAACATTCAACTTTATGTAAATGAAGAGCGACTTTCTTAAGTGACAGCCAATTTAGAGCAGCAGTAAAGCTCACATGATCCTCTCTCAGCTCCTGCAGAGGCCAGTTGTATTCTCCATGCTGTAGACCAGGGGTGCTCAATCCTGTTTCTGGATATCTATCTTCCTGTACAGTTTAGCTCCTACCCTGATCAAACCCAGCTGAACCAATTAATTAGGACCTGAAATCCACTTGATAATTACAGGCAGGTGTGTTTGATAAGGGTTGCAACTGAAATCTGCAGGAAGGTAGATCTCCAGGAACAGGATTGGCCACCCCAGCTGTAGACCTACACAGACCTGTGTTGCAGCAGATCGCCATCCAGAGCAACAGCCAGCTACAAAGCCACCGCTAGTGTGAATGAGGCATAAGTCACTGTATTTTTTCAAAAACGTAACATTTTGATGTTTTTAAAGGCAAGTTGTGTGGAAAATGCATCACAATTTCCCCTGAATTTTCTATTTTATATCAGAAGGTGGCAGCACACGAATGATCACACACAACAATGTACATTAAACATTTTTCTGCCATAAGTTGCATGTGTATGTATGTGTGTGTGTGTGTGTGTGTGTGTATGTGTGTGCTTGTGAGTTAGGAATTGCCAAAATAGACTTGTAGCCTATTATATTTTCTGACATTTAGTGTAATAATGATATCAATGATGAAACAAACATAATTAAACCTGTATCTTTATAGATTGTTGTTCATATTTTTTGTATTTGTGTGTGTGTGTCAGTTTCTGCTGATTTTCCGGCGGGCCGCAGCCGGTGAGCTGCAGGAGGAGAGTGGACTCATGGCTCTGGCTCGGCTGTCAGAGATCGACGTGTCCACTGAAGGAGTTCTGGGAGCCAGAGACTTCTTTGAGGCCAAGGTTTGTCCAGTTTTGCTGCATGGACGTACACTGCTCGCATGCGCTTCAGAAAGAGTATTATTGGACTTAGTCTTCCCTCTTGTGGTCATACTGTGTAACCGCATGAAAGTTACAGAATGAAATTGCAGCAAATGTGGTTATACTAAATGCAGCCTACTGCAGGAATAAAGGATGTACAGTAGAAAACAAACTTTAAAACAGTGGTGCATTAGTTCATGTATTTACTAACATGAACAACAATTAGTGATACATTTATTACGTCTTGACATTAGTTAATTTTATATAAGTTAAATAATGTCAGTTCAGTTGCTGACAAACATGAATCTGGATTTTTTTGGAACTATGATTAGTAAATGCTTTAAAAGATTATTTATACTTAGTTGATGTTAGAAAATACACTCACTGGTCACTTTATTAGGTACACTTTATTAGTACCGTGTTGGACCCCCTTTTTCCTTAAGAACAGCCTTAATCGTTCATAGCATAGATTCAACAAGATACTGGAAATATTCCCCAGAGATTTTGGTCCATATTGACATGATAGCATCATGCAGTTCCTGCAGATTTGTCAGATGCACATCCATGATGTGAATTTCCCATTCCACCACATCCCAAAGGTGCTCTATTAGATTGAGATCTGGTGACTGGAGGCCATTTGAGTACAGTGAACGCATTGTCATGTTCAAGAAACCAGTCTGAGATGATTCGCCCCTAATGACATGCCAGGTTATCCTGCTGGAAGTAGCCATCAGAAGTGGTCACTGTGGTCATAAAGGGATAAACATGGTCAGCAACAATACTCGGGTAGTCTGTGGCGTTGACAAGATGCTCAACTAGAACTAATGGGCTCAAAGTGTGCCAAGAAAATATCCCCCACACCATTACACCACCACCAGCAACCTGAACCGTTAACACAAGGCAGGATATGTCCATGCTTTCATGTTGTTGATGCCAAATTCTGACCCTACCATCTGAATGTCAAGAATCCTCAGACCAGGCCACGTTTCTCCAAACTTCTATTGTTCAATCTTGGTGAGCCTGTGCGAATTGTTGCCTCAGTTTTCTGTTCTCAGCTGACAGGAGTGGCACCCGGTGTGGTCTTCTGCTGCTGTAGCCCATCTGCCTCAAGGTTGGCATGCTGTGCATTCAGAGATGCTCTTCTGCAGACCTCGGTTGTACCGAGTGGTTATTTGAGTTACTGTTGCCTTTCTATCAGCTCGAGCCAGTCTTGCTATTCTCCTCTGACCTCTGGCATCAACAAGGCATTTGCGCCCACAGAACTGCCGCTCACTGGACATTTTCTCTTTTTCTGACCATTCTCTGTAAACCCCAGAGATGGTTGCGCGTGAAAATCCCAGTAGATCAGCAGTTTCTGAAATACTCAGACCAGGCCATCTGGCATCAACATCCCCATTCTGATGCTCGGTTTGACCTGCAGCAGATCATCCTGACCATGTCTACATGCCTAAATGCGTTAAGTTGCTGCCATGTGATTGGTTGATTAGAAATTTGCGTTAACGAGCAGTTGGAATCTGCCAGTTACTTAACAAAGTGGCTAGTGAGTGTACATTAACTAACATTAACTAATAGACCATTATTCTTCACTGTTACCGAAAACTATTTCACAAATAATGAGTAAGGGACAATAAATTCGGCAGTAAAATATATTTAAATACCTGTAACAGCTACTTGTAAAACATTGAGTAATTTTAGTAATTGTTGATTTCAGCAAGGCAGGATTTCTTTTTAAGTGAAGCTTTTCGTCTAATATTTATATTTTACTATATTTAATCTTTATTGCTATAATCTTTATATTTACTGTTCCTTTTCAGTCTCATTGTATTTATAATCAGAATTTTGCAAACTAGTCTGACACAAAACAGTCAGGATATTTTTAATAAAGAGTGAAAATGGTGCTGGAAATATAAAGGGTTAGTTCACACAAAATTCTGTCATGATTGACTATTAAAGAGCTTTAATTTTATATACATAAATTAAATCTCATAGTCTTCAGCTTTAAGTTTAACACAATCAGATATTCACTCATTCATTTTCCTTTAGCTTAATCCTTTTATTCATCAGGGGTTGCCACAGCGGAAGGAACTGCCAACTATTCCAGCATATGTTTTACACAGCAAATGCCCATCCAGCCTCAACCCATTACTGGGAAACATCCATTCACTCTTAAATTCACACACGCTCATACACTACGGCCACTACACAGAACATGCAAACGCCACACAGAAATGCCAACTGGTCCAGCTGGGACTCGAACCAGTGACCTTCTTGCTTTGAGGTGGCAGTGCTAACCACTGAGCCACCGTGAACAAATAAATTAAATAGGGACTGAAAAAGTTGTTGGTTATATACAGGGTTAGTAAAATTGAAATTTGGTCATTATTTACTTTTAAATCTTATGGTCTTCAGCTTTTAAAATGAGGCAATCAGATATTTATTACTGCAAATTAGAAAGTGTGCACAACAAAAAATCGTATTAAAAAGCATTTTTTTTCAGAAGAACAGCATTAGTAAAGCCTTCATCTGTATATATTATAAGCATATCACACACTTAATTTGAAATTCATTGTCTTCATATATTATGTGTGCGTTATCATCTGTGTATTTGTGTGTGTGCAGGCTCAGGCTCTTTCAGTGCGCAGTAAGTTCGAGGCTGAACTCCGAGAGGAACAAGAAGAGAGGAAAAGACTGGAACTGGAGCGCAAACAACGGCGAGCTGCATTTAAAGAGCTGCAGTCCACATTCTGTTCATAAAGAGCTTTATAATTCAACAGATACACACCTTTTACACACGCACACAGCGCTCCTATAATGTTCCTCACACCTTCTATTGTAATGAAACCGACAGCGTTATTTGCCGCTTACAGCTGTCCTGAAATATGCATGATGAGGAATTTGTTTCACGGCTGTGGAAAAGAAAAGGAGGAGCGAGTGTAATTTCAGGAGACTTGTAAAAGTAGGCCTTAAACTCTAATAGACTAGATTACGCTTCTGTTTTAATCATCTAAGCAACTATAGGCTATATTTTTAGAAACAAAAGAGGTTTATTGTAAAGTCATTCTGTGCTAATCATCATTGTAATCACATGCAGAGTTGGTGGACTAAATATGACCAATCGACAAGATTTGAATCGAGAAGAATTTTTATTTTTTATAGATTTTAAACACGTTTGCTTTTGTTAACATTTTTGTTTTTTTTACATTTTTGTCACTTAAAAATATGTTTGTTCAGTTTTGATTAATTGTATTTGATCTGATGTTCATAAAATCTACCTGTAACTTGTTTTGCCATTTGCAATAAGTTCATTAAATCACAGTATTTTTCAAAATATATGTATTATTGTGTATTTTAAGACAAAAATAAGCTGCTTTGTGTGCAAAAATGCTCTTTTCTTGTTCTGAATGTTGTATTGTATACCAGCAGGTGGCAGCACATGAATGAGCACACAAAAAAAAAGTAGGCTGTGACGTTGACACAATGCTGAATTGGTACTAATGGGCCCAAATTGTGCCAAAAAATATCCCCCACACCATTACACCACCACCACAAGCCTGAACCATTGATGCAAGACAGGATGGATCCATGCTTTCATGTAGTTGATGCCAAATTCTGACTTATTAGGTCAGGCAATGTTTTTATAATCCTCTATTGTCCAATTTTGGTGAGCCTGTGTGAATTGTAGCCTCAGTTTCCCGTTGTTAGCTAACAGGAGTGGCATCCGGTGTGGTCTTCTGCTGCTGTAGCACATCCGCCTTAAGGTTGGACGTGTTGTGCGTTCAGAGATGCTTTTCAGCTTACCTCTGTTGTAATGAGTGGTTATTATAAATATAAAAAAAATATTCACATTAAAGGGGACCTATTATGCCACTTTTTTTACAAGATGCAAAATAAGTCTGATGTCTCTAGAGCTGGTGTGACCAACCCTGTTCCTGGAGATCAACCTTCCTGCAGATTTCAGTTGCAACCCATATCAAACACACTTGCTTGTAATTATCAAGTGCTGTTCAGGTCCTTATTAATTGGTTCAGGTGTGTTTGATGAGGGTTGGAGCTGAGCTTTGCAGGAAGGTAGATCTCTAGGAACAGGGTTAAGCACCACAGTCCTAAAGTGTGAATGTTAAGTTCAGTCATTCATTCATTCATTTCTTCCGCTTTTCCGGGGCCTTGTCGCGGGGGCAGCAGTCTCAGGAAAGAAGCCCAGATTACCCTTATCCAAGACCAGTGGCCTCAAACTAAACTCCTGGAGGGCCACAGCGCTGCAGATTTTAGCTTCAACCACCTCCAACTCACACCTGCTTAATAGTCTCTAGCAGTCTTGAACACCTTGATTAGTTGAATCAGCTGTGTTTGATCAGGGTTGAAGCAAAACTGTGCAGTGCTGCGGCCCTCCAGGAATTGAGTTTGAGACCTATGAGCTACATAAACATAAGGGATATGCCCATAATAATAAGGGATTCCCCCGACCCCCTTTTAAAAAATCCCCAAATTACTAAATATGCTCATTTGGAGCTGTTTCGTTGTAAATAAACAGTTCAGTATGATCAGTAATTGATTCATTCATTTTCTTGTCGGCTTAGTCCCTTTATTAATCCGGGGTCGCCACAGCGGAATGAACCGCCAACTTATCCAGCAAGTTTTTTTATGCAGCGGATGCCCTTCCAGTCGCAACCCATCTCTGGGAAACATCCACACACACACTCATATTCATACACTACGGACAATTTAGCCTACCCAATTCACCTGCACCGGAGCACCGGGAGGAAACTCAAGCGAAGGCAGGGAGAACATGCAAACTCCACACAGAAACCCAAATGAGCCGCGGTTTCACCCAGCGGCCTTCTTGCTGTGAGGCGATAGCACTACCTACTGCCCCACTGCCTCGCCCATGATCAGTATTATGTTTTATCATTTACAAAAGAAAAAATAAATAGTATACATTAGCAGCAAATTAGCAAACAGTTCAGCTTATTAAAATTAGGCCCTAATAGCTATTAATGAAATGAAATCAAATGAAATAGAATCAAATCCCGTTAGCCGTTTCTTCACTGTATAACGTACACATTCTGATTAAAAAGCAATGAATGGTTTTGTTCGTTTGTTTACATTAAATAACAGGTGTCACTTTAAAATGCACACATCTAACGTGATAATGAAAGCATTCGATTGCTTTCCTAACTGTTTATACTCATTTAGGACAAAATCATTTGTGTTTGAAAAAAAAAAACCCACCAAGATCGACATCTTTAGATACTATTATTTTTATAATGTTTTATATTAATTTTAAAGTCATTTGGCAAATTCTATTTTTTTAAAGATACGCAATAGTCACTTTCCCTGGTAATTAGTTACTTTTATACTAATATAACTCAGATACTAGTTGTGAGAAGTAACTATAATTACTCTTTTAAAGGAACGTGTCCAACACTGCTAGTGGGCGGGGCTTTCCACCTCTGATGTCATATACACAGGGAGAATTTAAATCAAAGCTTTCTGCAAACTGTTTATATCAAGTGCAATTATTAAAAAATGTAATTAATAAATGTTGACCATTATAAGCTGGTTATATTCACACACTGTTCCCACACAAATGTGTTTAAACCCCTTATAAGTGAAGTTTTTCAAACTAATTTAGAGAGGAGCACGTGATATAATTGACTGCAGCTGGCCACCCATCTACACTCATTAGTTAGCCAATCAGATCTATCCTAACTCACTATGAGTAGCCTAGCTAGATTTACTAGCCTAGCTAGATTTACCCCCCCTCCACCCCTTTCTCCTCCTTTCCTCCTTTACAAAAGGGGAGCTCTCGAGAACCACCTGATCTCGTACTCCCCTCACATGCTCTATGGACCTGGTGGGAGCCCTGGGCTCAACTATGTCCAAGCTCAGGGTTCTCTCCCAGGCCAGCATGCCAAACCTGCTAACAGTTGTCAAGCAATATCTAAGTGTGAACTCTTGGAAAGTGATTTTTGCAAATAAGATCTCCTTTTAAACAGTTTGCTGCCATAAACTGCTTGGCTATATGATTCTAATGAGGCGTAAAATGTATAAGGGCGAGCTTGAGCAGCAATAAAAACACAAGCACAACATTTCCACAGATATTTTAATCCAGTTTCGTGCTCCACCTATCAAAATAAAGGCATTTCTTTTACAGATCAGTCGCCACTCAACGCAGCTCGATAAAAATCATGATTAGAGGCCTGTTTAGAGTCCAGAGATGAACAATCATCCTTTATACATACCATCATAATAAAGTGAAAGCAATCAGCCTTTCCTGATTGACAGACAGTACATGTGCAATATAATCAGCTACAGTAAAAATCATACAGTGTTGTGCCACCAAAGTGAGTGTGCTAATATTTTTTTTGTTGTTTTATTGCATAGATTGCATTGCACTGATAATACTGAAAATTTCTTCCAAAATATATTCTAGTAAGTAATCTATTGTCTATATACGTTATTATTTACATTACTTTTCAGCTGTTTCATATCTCCACCCAAAAGTTCAGTGAAAGTCAAAGCTTTTGAGGAATGAAGTAGTAGGCACTTAATAGGGTTGTTAAAGGGATAGTTCACACCAAAATGTAATATTTACTCACTATTTACTCAACCCTCAAGTGCGTCCAAACCTTTATGAGTTTTAAAACAAATGAAGATATTTCGAAGAATGTTAACATTGGTGACCATTGACTTCCAAGCAACTAATACTATAGAAGTCAATGATTACGGGTATTCAACATTTATCAAGATATCTTCTTTTCGTGTCAGCAAAAAGAAACTCAAACAGGTTTGTGAAGTTAAGGGTGACTAAATAAATAATATTCACATTGTTTTTTTGACAGAATTATCTCTTTAATGAATGCTTTAAAAATAAAGTTCAACCAAAACAAAGACAAAATATATATTTCCGAATTTAGCCAATCAGCTTTTCTAGATGTTGGTTTTGTTTACAATGGGATTATTTTCCTTCTTTTTTTGGTCTAATTTTATTTATAGTCAGACTTTCTATAATCTAAACTATTCAATCTTAAACATTCAGGAAAAGGCTTTTAAATAAAGACTGAGGTAACACTTTATTTTGATGGTCCGTTTGAGTATTAGTAGACTTTCTGCTTAATATCTGTTGATACTGCTCCTTCAACAGACATTTAACTGACTATAAGAAACTTTGCAAGAACAGGTCAATTTACACTAACCACAACCTAACAGTCATTTTATAATCTGAAGAGAATTAGTTGACATGTAGATGCGATGTAACTTATATTCAACAAAAGGACCATCAAAATAAAGTGTGACCAAGATGGAAAAAGTTGTTGGACATTTACAGGCTTAATGGACAATCTGGTCATCATTTACTCTATCCGAAAGGTATATGTTTATAAACTGTAATCTGATTAAATAAATCTGTTTATCTTACAAAGTGGTTATGCCTATTCAGAAAGCTTGAATTAAACTGCTTAATTCCTATACAGAAGTCAACATTAGAAGCGGATCAAAAAAGATTATGAAAATTGTCTAAAACTGTTGAACATTCATCTTAGGACAATTTTGAAAAACATTTTTATCCACTTCTAATGTTGACTAATGTAAACCTTTTTGTTGTTGTGGTTTTAGCATTTTCGTGAATGTTTTGAAGCACCAGAGTCTCTTAACAGAGTTACAGACATCTTAGTTCGCCCACAAATTACAATTCTGTTATTTAATTACTCTCCCTCATTTTGTTTCAATCACCTGAGACCTTCGTTCATCTTCGGATGATTGTAAATTCAGATATTTTAGTTGAAATCAGTTAGCTCTTTCATTCTACATCAGTTGTCTCAAACTCAACTCCTGGAGGGCCACAGCTCTGCGGATTTTAGCTTCAACCACCTCCAATTCACACCTGCTGAATAGTCTCTAGCAGTCTTGAACACTTCGATTAGTTGGATCAGCTGTGTTTGATCGGGGTTGAAGCAAAACTGTGCAGTGCTGCGGCCCTCCAGGAATTGAGTTTGAGTCTTATGACCAACATAAACAGCAAAAGTCTTGAGGTATTCGAAGTCCAGAAAAAAGGGAACCAAAAATATTTTGGAAATCGCATACTTCCATAATATATAGTACGCTAAAGAGAGTATGTAAGCCGAGTAGTATATCTAAATTCATAGGATTTGAAAAACAGTATATGAGAAGTACCTTGATAACCTACAACTTTCTGTGAGATTCTGAAGTGTGCATCAAATGGACCCAATGCTATCCCTTGATGCACCGCGAGAGAATTCATAAATGGGAGTGAAGTGTAGGTCATGTAATGAAGAAATAATGGCAGATGTATTATGTCCGTGTTCCATGTACTACTGATATTCATACTGTAAAACATACATTTCTATCAGCACATCGAATAGCACATTTAAATTCAAATGCAGTACCTACTGAGTGATATAGGTGATTTCAGACACAGCCCTCATGTCTTCAGTGGTTCAAACTGTAATCATACAGATTAGAGCACAGGTGTCACTGGAGGGCCACAGCTTTGCAGTTTAAATCCAACTCTAATCAAACACACCTGGTCAAACTAAGCCCTTCAGGCTGGTTTAAAACTTACTGGTAAGTGTGTTGGGAACAAAACTGCCCAAGAACTGATTTTGACACCCTTGGATTAGTGGATGAGAGAGCGTCCAGATTTCACATTAAATAACTTCATTTGTGTTTCGAAGATGATCGAACGTCTCAGAGGATTGAAAGAAGACAATGGTGAGTCATTAATAACAGAATGTTTATGTTTGGGTGAACTAGTGCTGTAATCTTTTCTCAAAAGATGAGCAGTTTTCTTAAGAGTTTGAGAAAACATGAGGGTGAGTAAATGATGACATTAAGGTCTGGGTACTTGACAATTTAAAGTTGGTGATGCAGTTTTTGTAGTTCATTAAGCTTATTTTCTTCATTAATCCTAAATCTGATTGGTTTTGATCAAGGGGGAAACAAACAAAAATACACCATCATTGAAATGCTCTCTGTCCACATACACACTGTAAAGTTTCAGGAGTGACAACGACATTTAAAAGTTATTTAACACAGTAAAGTTATCATTCAGTCCATGTACAAAACTCACTCTTCTCCTGAAATAGCATGACTGACACTCTCTTACCATAGTGTTTCAGCCATCTCATGTGTATCAGCTTTTCTTGACCAATTTAATATAACAAATTCTCCAAACTCGTACAGTGTTCTGTAGTTTAAGATAAACAGCAGATGTCAGTGTTGTGTTTTGTTCATGTTTTTTGTTTATGCCCACATAGTTTAACCATTTAACTTTCACTATATAAAGAATTTTGACCAATTTCTTCTGGTTAAATTTTGTTCCTGACATCACTAAGAGTGAATTTTGAGCTTTTTGTTTAGTATTCATTAATTTTCTTTTGGCTTAGTCCCTTATGTATAAGAGGTCGTCTCAGCGAAATGAACCACCAACTATTCTGGCATATGTTTTACACAGTGGATGTCCTTCCAGCTGCAACCCAGTACTGGGAAACACTCTCACATTCACACACATACACTGCAGCCAATTTAGTTTATTCAATTCACCTATAGCGCATGTCTTAGGACTATGGGGAAACCGTAGCACCCAAAGGAAACCCATGCCAACACGGGGAGAACATGCAAACTCCACACAGAAATGCCAACTGGTCTAGCCAGGACTCGAACCAGCGATCTTCTTACTGTGAGGCAAATGTGCTAACCACTGAGCTACCGTGCCACCAACTTTTTGTCTATTAATGATAACCTATCCACAAAGGGTCAACCAGGTCGATACACATTTAGACTTGGCTTTAAAACATCATAAAACATAAAAATGAAAGCAAATTTAATCAATTACTGGTGGGTAAATCTCTAAAACAGTGGTGTCAAAACTCGGTCCTGTGTGCCGGTGTCCTGCATATTTGAATTCCAACACCGGTTAAACACACTTGAAGCAGCTAATTAAGCTTTTTCTTGGGAGGTGTGTTGAAGTAAGTTGGAGCTGAACTATGCAGGACACAAGCTCTCCAGGACCAAGTTTGGACACCCCTGCTCTAAAACATCATTGAAATAAATCAGTCAAGCTGAAATTATTCTTAACCATGGCAAATTCTGACTTAAAGTTACTTCTATTCAACCAGAATTATATATATTTTTTTATTGGAAATGACACAGGCTTCTCTCAAAGATAATAAGAAGATGTAGAAGAAAGTTATTATTTACATTTGAACGAAAACTAGGGGTGACATTGTGGCTCAGTGGTTAGCACTGTCACCTTACAGCAAGAATTTGCTAGTTTGAGTCCAGGTTGGACCAGGAAATATTTCTGTGTAGAGTTTACATGTTCTACAATGTTGGCGTGGGTTTCCTCTGGGTGCTCTGGTTGCCCCACAGTCTAAAGACATGCACTATAGGTGAATTGGATGAACTAAATTGGCCGTAGTGTGTGTGAATGTGGTGGTGTATGGGTGTTTCCTTGTAATGGTTTGCAGTTGGAAGGCCATCCGTTGCGTAAAACACATTCTGGAATAGTTATCAGTTCATTCCACTATGATGAACCCTGATATATAAGGGACTAAGCCTAAAGAAAATAAATGAATGAAAAAAAAAACTTTAAGTCAGAATTTGCCAGGGGTAGGGATAATTTCAGGCTTGACTGTATATATCCGGAAGTATCCATTACTGTAGAAAATAAGGTGGGCAGATGGGAGTAATGTGTAATATTTTAAATAAAAAGTATATACATTTATTTGCAGTTTATAATGCTTTTTCTATCAAGATCTGGCAACACAAATTGGTCAAGGCGTGAATCACTTTCCCTGTGATATCTAGCTCTGCAAACACTCTTGTTAAAATAAAGGTACAAAGTTGTTACTAGGATTGTAACTTTTCGAATTGTTCACGTTTAAACCTAAAGAGTCCATATAAGCACCTAAAAAGTACAAAGTGTAGCCTCAGTGAACGTTAACAGTATCTGCATTTAGCATTTTTCTGGTTGTTGGATGTGGTCGTCACTCCTGTAAACTGCTAAACAATGTGAACAGGACAGGATTAGGTACTAAAACGTGAACCAACAAATAAATTTATCATTAGTGTGTATGTGGTCTTTAATAATGACCATACACTTGTAGTATAGAAAAAAAAAAAACATCATTAAAGTAAGTTTACGCTTCATTTCTACACTGTAAAAAGCGATTAGTTGACTTTAAAAAGTGAGTAAACTCCTTGACTTGCTTAAGAAAATAAGAACGTTGCCTTAAAATTAAGTAAATGAACTGTGGATAATTTTAAAAATTAATTTACGTCAACATACTTCTAAGTTACAATGGGTTTACCCACTTTTTAAAGTAACTAATCCCGTTAAAAGTAATATTAATTCATTTTGATAAAAATGTCTTTATGGATGAAGAGGTAATCTCTCCATAAAGCGCTTCAATAATTTAGTTAACGCAGTAAGTAAGGGCTCAAACATGATGTTTGGTCTGGGGTCTTGAGTTGTGAGTGGAATCAGGGTGAAGATTCATACAATAAAACATTGTACATTCCACTTATCGCAGATGAAGACAATCTTGAACATCTGTCATGGTGCGTGTTCAGCAGTACTACAAGATGAACGCATGAATCAATGCATTCATAGCAGCATTTTGAAGTGTACCTAACAGGGCAAACGGACATGTCAGATGATAGCTAGCTAAGCTTGTCTTCTGGGATAAATAAGTCATTCACTGGAGGTCGTGTTGTGAAATGAAATGCCCTTTTTATGAATGGAGAATTCATACACCCTTGCATTAATACACAGCACTTCTTCTACTCCACGCGGTCGCTGCCTTCTCCATTCAGCTGAACCACCACATGCTCTTTATCCGGTGTATCAGTGGTGTGTGTGTTGGCTAGTGTGAGGGGACAGGGCACCGTGTCAAAATAGCGCATGTTTGGGGTTTTGTTCTGGTGTACAGACGTCACCTTGGAGAAGCAGTAGCCATATTGGATCTCGTCAGGCAGGTAAGACGTCCTCTTGTGGTAACCAGACCCTGTGCTTTCCTGAGTCGCAGTGAGAAACACTACAAGCTCAAAGTGTGTTTGACTGCTTGGGTTGTTGATGAAAGGAGTGGATGGATTTAAAGGGTGAAAGAAGGTCAGAGGGGAGAGGAAAAGAGGGCAAGATCTGGAGCCCAGGTTGTCGATGCTGAACTCCAGAGCAGTTTGGTGGAGTTCGTGATCGTCTCGCTCCTCGTAGAGGACAGCACTCACGGATACGTCCACTAGCGGCTGTGGCTGGAGGTTACACACTCGAAACATTAGACAGCGCTGGCCTTTCTGCTCACACACCACAGCCTGAGGGCTGAATAGGATCCCGTCACATCGCTTCTGAGGCCGAGAGAACTTGGCTACAAATGCACCTGATGGGCAGAGAAAGAATTGGGGTTTTAAAGCACACATGAAAGCAAAACTAACCATATTGATTTTGTTAACGTTACTAGTTTTGTGGTAAACCATTCATCTGTGCATGTCACTGTGAACAATAATGTTTGCTCTTGTAATCTTTAATTGAAGTCTGAAAATGAACTTCCTGTTTGTTTTCAGTTAAATTCTCAGATTACGTCTGTCTGAGACAGGGGGGTGGAGAGGAAATTAGGATGATTTTAGGGGCCCACACCATTTTGGGGCCCCAAGAGATACTATTAGGGGCCCACCAGAACACCCCTGCTCTTCACTTTCGCCCTTTGAAAATGCTTTCATAGGGCCCATACCGGCAAGCGGTACCCCTGGTCTAAAGTATTTGGCATATACTTAACAGACATGATGAGCAGGGGGAGTCTGTTAGGTTGTGATAACTCTTTTAAAACATTTTTCCTGATATTTCTGAATGAAATGCCTACTTTACTATATCCAGTAAAGTAGGTAAACTATACAATATGGAGCTAAAATGTAAGAAAGGGGTTTATACTGTTTTATACTGCACAAAAAGTCCATAATTTTGACACATATGTACATGAGAAGTGAGAAACTAGAATTTAGAGAATTAATGTAATTGAAAAGTTCGTATGTAATTGAACTTTGGTATTAAAGCTAAATAATAATAATGGAAAATGTGGACATAAGTTATTATTTATACTACTACTACTATAATAATAAAGCAATTTTACAATAGTGGTAAATTACTATATTTTTTAAATGATAAATTATAGAAACTGAAATAAGACTAAACAAATGGCAAAACTTGTAATTTAGTAAATAAAGTTAATAATGATAATGATAGAGACAGCAATAATAATAATAATAATAATAATAATAATAATAATAATAATAATAATAATAATAATAATAATAATAATAATAATAATAATTTACAAGTTGTTTGTGAAGATAAACTATAACAAATATGTATAAAAATAAATTATTTAGAAACAAATTGTCATAAACCAATGTCATGTTATGATAGCTTGGCATTTAAAATAGGAAAAAATAGCCCCCAACCGGGGCTTGAACTAGTGACCTTTTTGCTGTGAGGCAATTGTGCTGCCCACTGTGCCAACATGATGCCTATAAGGCAAATAACAATAGTGGAAAACTACAAACTGAAATAAGTAAAGACTAAACAAAACTGCAACACTTATAATTTAGAAAATAAAATTAAAAGTGATTATAATATAGACAGCAAGGATAATAATAACAACAACAACAACAACAACAACAATAATAATAATGATAATAATCATAATAATTTAGAAAATATTTGTAAAGATAAACTATATCAAATATGTATAATATTTGGCTTAGCATTCAAAATGAGAAAAACATCCTTAACAGATAAAAATCAGTTTGAAATATTATTTATATATGTTTGTAATTATTTTATATGAACTTAATTTAATACATTTATTTGCATTTCCCACAATGCAAACAATCTTTTGTTTTTTTTCTCAATTGGGAGTTTGATTACTTTAGCACTAAGTCTCTGGTAGATTGTGAAAACATCTTTTATTATTTAAAACTAGTGCCATTTGAAAAAACTTTGATGTCAAAATCACAGGATAGTTTTTCTAGCTGAGTGATTAGTCACGTGACAGCAGCAGCTGGTCTGATTGGATTGCAAACCTGCGTTCAGAAATGAGTGCAGTTGAGATAAAATGAAACTCTAGAATTTGGTTCACAAAAATCACAGAAGAAGAAGATCAAGAAACATAATTGTCTGAATCAGAAAGTACACATGATAGGCAAGCATCCAACAGGCTTATGTGAAAACTGTAAAGTAAAGGAATCAATAACATGTATTATTGGAAAATATGAGAAGAAAAGAAGAGAAATGTTTCAAATAGAGAATGAGTGTAATATTAATATTCAGAATCTCTTAGATGGAAGAGCCCAGAATATGGTTAAGCATCTTATAAAATATCTATAAAACACAGGTTTGATGGATAGATTATAATTATTATTATTTTTCCTGATTCTGTCATCTACAATTTTACATTCCAGTCAGGTAGGTGGCGGTAAAACACCTTTAAAGCTGGTTGTCAGCCGTCAATAAAATCAAAAGAAGAAAAAGTAGTAGTAGAAGAAGAAGAAGAAGAAGAAGAAGAAGAATGAGCCAAAAGGTAATCACTAATTAAGCTGCTTTCAGTGAACCAAAAACAATTTTTGCAGGTGTGATTTTTATGTAAACCTGCTGTTTGTTGCATTAGTTGATTAACTTGCTGTGTGTTTATGGTGGTGGTTACAGCTTTCAGTTTGGCAGATATGTTGATATATCAACACGTGCAAACCCCATGATAAGATAACGCTGGATTTACCCCTGGAAGTACCCCTGATTTCATTCCAGGCTATATTGTTCAATTTAAATGTCAGGATTATCTGCTCAATATAAAGCCTGAATTGTAGTGTATGTACATTCATTGCCTCACAGATCATATGCAAAGTACTCGTGATGAGTTTTATTTTAAATGTATATTTCTGAAAGAGTCTTTCTGGCTGTTTTTCTGACCTTTAACCATGTGAAATGCATGTGAAACAAACTTGCATCCTGCTCATGCATATGTATTGAGTCTTTGTGAGATTATGAGGTAAATAAGTGACAATGTTGTTTTTCATTATGTATGCTGTCTTTAAGTTACAGTTTGGTTCACTTATAAACAGGGGAACGTGCTGAATTAGTCAGCAGGTAAACAGTTTGATGATACTTCATTTAAGCATTAATGGAAATCTGGGATGTATGTGTACTGTATATGGTGTTTTATTTGTTCAAAAGTGTTTAATGGAATCTTCTAGCTTCAGCAAGTTAATGTTATGATGTATATTTCGCAAAGGTTAGTCAATTTTTAATGGGAGATATTGTATTGTACACTCTAAAAAGGCTGACTGAGGTAAAGTTGGTTTTATATTCACACATTCAGACTTTATCCTTAATAATTTAATTTCAGAAAAGCATCCTTTGCAAATTCCAAATAGTTTCTTACTTACCCCCAGGGCCGTTTATATTGAAGTTGATATTTAGCCACACCATGTTGGTGTTTCGTAACTTAAAATTTTTACTAAGTGGGTCGTTAGCCCAATGCTCAACCCCGAACCTGGAGGACCGGGACATACACGTATATACTACGGACAATTTAGCTTACCTACTTCACCTAAAGCACATGTCTTTGGAGTTGTGGGGTAAACCGTAGCACCCGGAGCAAACCCACACGAAAATTCTAAAGAGTAAAATCATATTAGCAGCTTATGACTGCAACATCGTACAACATTCTTTAGTCAAAAAATAGTGCTAATGTTGTTTTGAAGTCATACTTGCATGTGATTTCAGACCGAATATTCAAAGTAGCATGGTAAACTATAGGGAGCTACTTTCCCTCAATAAAAGGCTGGGCTGTTTTAGGCCAATGTGGAGTCAAATATTAACCAACAAACAAAAAATGTCATTTAAAATCATGGTGAAAAAATGAACCCAACGTTGGGTTAATACAACCCAGCACAACCCAGTGTACATGTTTGTGTACCAAGCATTTTCAGTACCGTAGGCATGTGTTCTACACTTACACACTATTGGTTGAACCACTGCATTTACTGCATTATACATAGCTTTACACACACATAAAAAAAATGAACAGTTCTGTTAATTAACAGTTGTATGACACTATATTTAAGCAGAAATCATCTGCGTCTAGTGATTTGTTTTATTTAGTGATTAGCTGTAGTGTGTAAGTCCTATTTTGTTGAGTTTTAAGTTAAAATACAAGAAAATGCTGAATGCTTTTCTGTTTATTTATAGTTTTAATTGCATAATGGTAATGAGTCCTTTTATAACTCCGCTTAATATTTTTAGTCGTTTAAAACAATATATTGTCTGAGTTGGTCACCAGGTAATACGTTTCCAGCACTTTTTCCAATTATTTTATATATTTAATTATTAAAGTTTTAACAATAGATTAAGAAAAAAACTTAATAATAGTAAATCAGTATGCATTTTGTATTATATAACAACTTCTTTAAAAAATATTTTTGTCAATTTAAAGATCTTTGCTTTAAAAATAAAATGTAGCTTTTATAGTATTTTATACTATTTATGTAGTATTATGTAGTATTTTACATAAATTTGCGGGCACTTCAAACCTGGAATAATCCTTCAAATCACACCATTTCTATTTTGACCAATTTGAGGGTGCTTTCACACTTGGGTTGATTGCCTGGTCTGAACCAAAGTTTGATTGACCCCACTTGCTACATTCCCGGCTGGTTGGTTTGTGTTCACATTGGCTGTTTCTCAATATGCATTCTTCAGCGGTCTTGCGTCCTCGTGTTCTCCAGCAACGTCATCATCAGCTGCCTAAGTTCAGTTCCAATACTCAAGACCGCAAGTACGGAGGACGCAAGAAACTTCCCGGATGTGTTCTTGATATCGAGGACGCACTGATGCAGACTTGAGCAGCGAACTCGCTCTGGAAGTCCCAGAAGTCATTGCGACTGGAGGTGGGAAGCGCAGCATTTTATTTAGATTTATTATTAAAGTTCAGAGATATCACTTATTTACCTCAGGAGTTTCCCTAAATGAAATGGTGAAAGTAAACATTAACATGGACATCTTAATAAAGGAATAAACACATTAAGGGTTGTTTGTTTGCTGAAATTCGTATTAAAATCTGTTTTATTTATATTGTGCAGAGCATATTTATAATATTTTTATGCAAAGTATATATTTTGAAGAGGGGGGAAACAATAAATCGTTGTATGAATGCTGTAATGTTTAAATAATTTAATATTTAAAAAGCGTGAAGGTCATGTGACCATCAGGAAGAACGCAGCATCCCATTTCTCAAAGGACGCATTCTCTGCCCTCGCGGTCTCCTGAGTTCGTTCTTAACATAACGCGATGTCCGCAGAGGTTGTTTTTGGAAGAGGCAAGGAGACATTATCACTGTGTTTACCTTAACTCAGTCCCAGTTGTTACCAAGGTAAAGTTAGGTGATACACATTATAAATGTTATGAAAACTAAAGTTTGTTGTTTGTTGGTTTAATTTTGTTATGTGGTATGATTGCATTCATAACAGGACTGAAATGAGCCAGAGTAGCTCAAACTGTACCCTAGACCACCTCTTTCAGGTGGACTTGGGTACGGTTGCCGGGTGCGCACACAAGTTCAGAAGACATCGTTCACATTAGCTAAATGTACCATGCTCTGATGTCAAACAAACCTGGGTGTGGACCAAAGTGTGAAAGCACCCTGAAATAATCATTTTCAAATAAAATCTCTAACACAGACTTTACACATAATATCTCCACAGTAAAACGAAAGATTACCAGTGATGAAGGCCTCCAGCATGAGTCCCAGAAGCATCTGCAGGGCAAGCAGCGCGATGGCAGTGGGGCAGTCTGCGTTTGGGTACATTGTGCCATACCCAATAGTGAGTTGCGTCTCCAGGGCGAACGAGAAGGCGGCTGTGAACCCATTCACATGTTTAACACACAGCACATGACCGGGAGGAGGAGAATCATGATCCAGGACATCCAGGTCTCCATTGACCCGAGCCAGCAGGTACCATAATACAGCAAACAGCAGCCAGTGAAGCAGGAATGAGCCACAAAAAGCCAAAACCACCCACCGCCACCGTAGCGCCAGCCATGTGCCCCACAAGTCCCGCAGAGCACTGAAACACGTCTCTCTGGAGCCTCCTCTTGTGTTTCCTCTTGTCTGGCTCCGGCCGTCTTTGCTGACCAGGCGGCGACGCTGAGGTTTGACCATCAAAGGGCAGGAGGCCTTTTGGTCAGCGGTGGTGTTTGTCATGGTGGTAGGCATGTGGATGGTATCTGGAAAGGTGAGCAAAAAACACAGTCAGATATTCATAGTTTTCATTTGTCGTCACAGCATTAGGAAAATGTACGCCATCATGATGGGTAAAACATGATCTCCTGCTGACCACCAAGTCACGGCAAGAATAGTTTCTCTTTTTTTCTCAGCCAAAAAAATTTATAATTGTTGTGCAATAAGGTTTTGCATTAGTAACCGACAAGGAGACATGCATGGGCTGCAAATCTACAGAATTCAGAGAAAGAACAGCCAGAAATGAGAAATTTATGGATTTGGTAGCATCATTGCCCATAACAATCTATGGTACCAACAACTGTGAGTGCGTTTGTGTGCTTTTTATACAGTTTCTAATCTAATTTGCAGGTTAAGTGCATTTAAAGTATGAATTGAAGTCAAAGCAGCAGAAGTGAACGAATAGATTTAGCCTACCAGCACATGACTAAACACCATCAATACAGTATTGTGCAAAAGTCTTAGGTCACCAGTATTTCCACTTTAAAAAAATGTTTAAAGTCAGTTATTTTTATACTTTTCTGTATCATGTTAGTTTGAAATATCAATTTACATTTCCAAACATTATTTTTGTCATTAAATTGTAAATAAAAAGTAAGATTATTGCCTGCACAAGGTCTGACCTGATCATCTTCCAGTCTGTCTGGAATGACATGAAGAAACAGAACAAACTAAGACAAACTAAATGCAGAAGAACTCTGGCAACATCTTTAATGCCAAGTTCAGACATTCAAAGATGTTTTCACACTGCATGACTATCTGGGTTAAAGCTCTGTCGGTGCTTTGTTAACACTGTAGGATGGATCGGTGACAGGGGGTTTCATATTGCATGACCTTAATATAAGAATAATCGCCGACAACTGTGTCCAAACTTCATCTCACAACCAAACAAACGTGAGAAGTGACATGGAAACAAAGCGAGGTCACATAATCTATCTTTCGTTATTAACTACATAATGTAAAAAGAAGGCTTTAGCCATAGAGAAAATTTACTTATTTTGCTCACATGACTTTTGAAGAAAATTTGCAATTTCTCCTCAACCTTTTTTAATTTTCGACCCAGTTGTGGTATTGCTCATATGACACGTCAAACAGACATGAGTGCTCCTGCCGAATTTCCACTAGTTTTTCCTCCATTTCTTGGATCCACATAAAATGAAAATAAGCGCTTTTAACTTCTGCCCCATCATCCCGCTGGCCTGCAGGTACCCACACTAGTGCATACTGCTCTCTTATTGGTTGTAGGTAATCGGCGATGTTATTTTCAATCGAAACACATTTCACATGGCATGATTTCATGATTTGAATCACCGACAGCTCCAGATTTTTAGCATGCCAAATATCTCACGGGCGTTCTCAAAACCTGTCAGTGAGTCAAAAACGGGGCTAAAGTTATGCAGTCTGAACTCGGCATAAGATGCTTCAAAAAAACTACCTCCAAAATTTTTTTATTTTTAATTCAAGACTTACATGGGGGTGGAAAGCTCTGAGCAGAAGGTAAGGGATTGAGCATGACAGAGCAAAAATTAAACTGCATAGGAAAATAATTGGTAACACTTTAAAATTATCTATAAATAGTCTATTAGTTAATGTGTTTACTAAGATAAACAAACAATTATTACTACATTTATTACTGTATTTATTCATTATTGTTAACATCGGTTAATTTTTCTGAAGTTAAGTAATGCCAACTCATGTTTACACTGTAAAAAACACTGGGTTCCACACAATTCCTTCATGTGGTCTTAACAAAAATCAAAAAGTTAACTTAACTTTTTTTTTTTTTTTTTTTTTTTTTTTACAAATTTAAGTGGATTAAACAAAAATTGTGCTGATTCAGCTTAGTTTAAATAGTTTGAACAAGCATCAAAAAGAATTGAGTGTAGTTCATGTTAACTCAGTGTGTGCATTAATGTTGACAATCACAGCTTTGAATTTTATTAATGCATAAGTAATTAATGTTGAAATATGATTAATAAATGATTAGCAAGATTCTTTAAATTTAGTTAATGTTAGTAAATACATTAACTAATGGACCAATTTTAAAAAGTGCTACCAAATAATTAATACAAAATCAAATGGCTCATGGTTCATAAATTGTAAAAAATAATACTGAAAATATAAAACTTACTTCAAAATATGAATTAATACCATTCTAATGAATAAATACTAAAATAAAATTATGTTCACGCAAAGCTTCCATAATGCTTCAAGAGCTGAATGACCATTTTTAAGATGCATATTATTTTTTAGTCCTGTTTTCTTTCAGTTCTTGACAGCTCATAATGGAAAATGAGGCATGACAGTGAATACTTTCAGGTGAACTATTGCTTTAAAATTTTAACCCACATTGTGAAGAACATTAGTCACCTGTGTTATTCTTGTGAACGGCAGAGATGTGTGTGTGTGTGTGTGCATTTCTGTACACTGATTTAATTGGTAATGTTTCTCAGTGGGGTGTGTGTGTAGAAAGGACAGCAGGAATGTGTGTTTAATCCGTTTTTCTTCTTTTCCTTCACTGTCTACCAGACGACTGCGAGTGCAGTAATTAGTTTGACACTAAAAAGCCAAGCACTGAAATAATAACAAAAAGAAAAAAAGGGCTCCAGCAGCACAATGTTTTTTCAGCGTGTCACAGTGCTTAATGATATTACATTTTGTGACAGAGACGCGGTGTAGCAGCTCCTTGTATAACAAGTGAAAAGTGTCAGTAAATGTTATGCAGACAGGGTAAGTGAAAGTGCATGAGCACAAGAGTGTTTGGATGCCAGCGCTTGAGGTTAAACTGTAAATAAGAAGAGAGTGTCACATTTTTATTTAACCAATGTTAACTTGCCCTCTGGGTGAGGAGAGAGGGAATGTTCCACTTCAGGATGTTTTCCTAATGGGGTAAATCTGCTTTCGGTCTTGCCAAAGTCTTGCAAATTGACAATTAGATTGGATGGATATCATAGCCTGACCTGACCTTGATTCCGGCCAGAGGTTACAGCAGGATTTTGGAAATCCTCCCTACAGTGGTATTTCTATTTCATATTGCTCCAAATGGTGAAAATATGTTTATATGTAAAACTACAGTTTTCTTTTTGAATATATATTTAAAACATATTTGTTTATGTAATGACAAAGCAGAATTTGAATCTTTACACTGAATGCATATTAGCAAACAGGATTTTTCTTTACACAAAGTTCTGTCTACTGTATTGTCTATGTTTAACATTTACAAATATCACCCTGAAACACAAAACCTTAAGTCCTAAGTTACAGGGGTATATTTTTGCCAATAGCCAACAATACATTATGAGTCAAATTTTGCATTGTTTTCTTTTATGCAAAAGTGGTATTTTGGAAATTATCCCTACAATTTGGTGGTATTTCTAATGACTATTATAGAAATATATAATAGTAAGTGATTAGTAAAATATTATGCACTGTCATCATGGCAAAGATAAAAGAAATCAGCTAGTTATTAAAATATTATGTTTAGAAATGTTTAGAAAAATCTCCTACTTCTGGCTTGCAGCTGGAGGCGCATACACTGTGTAAATTAAAGCATATGCTGGATAAGTTGGCGGTTCATTCCGCTGTAGTGACCCCTGATGAATAAAGAGACAAGGCTGAAGGAAAATTAATGAATAAATGAATGAATGTGTTGAAAAAATCAGAAATTGGAGGAGGAGGGTTAATAATTCTGACATAATAAAACTAAATATGAGCATTTTCATGCAAATGACAACCTTGCCATGAAAAAAAAATTATCACATAATTCACATCCATAACATAGCTTTTTGCTCAAAAATGTAAAAAATATCAAATAAAATAAAATTCATTATTTTTGTTCTATAGAGAGCCAACTCTTACCCTTTTGATTAGCATTATTTCTTTTGGGTTAAGCAGTTTAAATCACAGAATTTCTACAAAGTATGTTGTATACTGTAAACTCGCAGACTGTTTTTGTCACATCCATAAAGCATGTTAATTTCCGTCATTCAAAATATTTAAAAAATGTTTACAGATAATTTTTCTGCTCCCGTAACTTTGTGATTAGTTGTTTTGGAAATAATAAACAGATGTTTCAGTATAATGTTAACATATCCTTTCTATGTGAATTTATGTTTTAAGATTTTACTGCAAATGTCACATCCATAATGCTGGAATATGCTCAATTATTATGTACAGTTGAAGTTATTAGCTCCCCTTTGATTTTTTTTCTTTTTTAATATATTACCCAAATTATGTTTAACAGAGCAAGGACATTTCACAGTATGTCTGATAATTTTTTTTCTTCAGAAGAATGTCTTATTTGTTTTATTTCGGCAAGAATAAAAACAGTTTATAATTTTTTAAAAACCATTTTAAAGTCCAAATTATTAACCCCTTTAAGCTATTTTTTTCTCTCGATAGTCTATAGAAATGCATTGCAATTTTTAGATTTTATATATTCACTAATAAAAATGATTTTTCTATTTGAGTTTATTTTAAAAAGCTGTTTATTTATCGGCAGTTGGCATTAAATAAAGCTATAAGCTATATATAAGCGATATTTTTTTTCGATAGTTTACAGAAATGCATTGCAATTTTTAGATTTTATATTTTTACTAATAAAAATGATTTTTCTATTTGAGTTTATGTTAAAAAGCTATTTATTTAATGACAAAGCATAATAATCAGCATCTTTTTTCCAGTATTCAGTGTCACAATAAATAAAATTAGTAGTTGCCCTAAATCTTTACTTTTTTATATTAAACTCGTAAAGCTAACTTAAAACAGCGAAAATTATTTAGAAGAATGAAGTTAAACATTTATTCATTAATTTTCTTCCAGCTTAGTCCCTTTATGTATAAGAGGTCACCATAGCAAAAACCCAAGCCAAAACGGGGAGAACATGCAAACTCTGCATAGAAATGCCAACTGATCCCACCAGGACTTGAACCAGCAACCTTTTTGCTTTGAGGCGACAGTGCTAACCACTAAGCCAAAGTGTCACACT